CCATCAACAACTAAGGTAAAAAATATATTTATCAGCCCTGAGGTTTCCATGGCAATAAATGTTAAGAATACATCTTTCGGAATGCGACATCATATAGTCTGGTAGATAGTCACCTTCTGTTACGTAATATTTGAAGCTTTCACAATAAATAAATGTACTAAAATCTTCTTGGGCAATCAGCCATGTTAATGTTGAATTATAAACCAATATTTCGGAGACCTCCTCCATCTCCACATTCGGGGTCAATGTGGTGAGTGATCATGTGTCATTGATATATATACCAGTTTGTCTAATAAATGCCTCATCACGTTGGATACCATGCAGCAGGAGGACAGAGTGAATTTCTGTGGTCACCCAGCTCTAACCTATCACTATGTCACTTATCCTTGTGTCCTTTTGTGTTATTTCTGGCATGCTTTTCCATGTATTTATCATAAGTTTGGTGTGACATACATGCGTCAGACTCGCTTAGTAATCTGGTGATGGGGTTCCATGCTCTGTTAAGTTAAACCTTCCTCTATGTGAATGTTGTTTGGATGTAGATTTATTTCTATCGGTTTTGAGAAGTCAGCCTCTGTAGCCCGATATTTTGGCAAGCACTGAGGTCTCTTCGAACTTGATCCAGTAGCCTAATTCAATGCTGTTTTGCCACTGCAGACTTATCTGTCTGATACACACATCAATGCTGGTGATGTTCTTTACACATCAACCTGTCTGTCCTATGTACACTTTGAAATCTTCTAGCCTTAAATCATCTTCTACTGACCTTAACATGTAAGAACTTTCCTTAGCAGGGATGTGGAGTGTGTTTATATTGTGACATGATGCCTGAAAGCCGGAATACTCCATTGTTAGGCAATGGCTTGCTAACATAGGTTTCATGGAGATGTGGATTCATGGAAACCAACTTGGTACAGAATGTGCTTTTGACATCAATGGAACCAACAAACAAATTCCCTGGATATGCACAAGCAACAAACAACTTCCATGGATACATGCAAGTAACAAACATTCTTCATGGATGTTTGCTAGACTATACAAGGAGCCATGAAGAGAATAACGATTCATTGATTAGTAAGACAGTTGTCGTTCAAGGCAGTCGCAGTAGAAGAAGTGATTGATTTGGGAATCAGACCCAAGTCAGTCACAGTGGAAGAGAAGATACCTGTAGTCCAGTAAGGAATGGAGCCAGTTCTAGGCAGCCATGGACTGTGAGCTGTTATAGTTTATTGTAATTGTAAAAGAGTGCCAATAAATCCAATCATCCAATTCAGAACTCGTTATATTTGTCAAGCAAACCACTTATATGTAATAACTTGGTGCCACAAGTGGTTGAAATGGATTGACTGATATGTGGATGGAAGATTTATTTTACAGTGTCACACTACCAAGATGGAAAACAAGGAACTCCTGAAAGCCATGAAAGAAATGACAGATGCCAACAGAGAATAAAGGAAGGCAGAAAGGGAACCCTGCCGAGATAAAAGGAAACAAGAAATAAGAGCCAGCCAAGAACACCTGAAAGAGGAGACGGAAGCCCAGATGGCTTCCCTCGCCTCTTGGATGGACATATATCAAGAGAAGATGGAGGCTGCAATTCACTCCCTGAGAGAATGGCGAAAGGTGATGATGGCCTGCCAATGGCGGAGGCGCATCTGGGATACAAGGCACCAACCTAAGAGGGCAAGGAACCCAAAGCAGAACATTGGCATGTACCTAAGGAACATGCCATAGTGGAAACTTGCAGAGTGCCTAATAAGTGGCAGAGGGACGGCATCTAGCCAAAAAGTGCCGGCAAACTCGAAGGAGCGGACCCCTGGAAATTGTGGATCCAAAAAGAAATTGGTCGCAAAAGGAACTAAGAAAGGACAAATGGAGAAGAGATGCTGAAAAGGCCTGGAATGCAAAATGGGAATATAGGGCCTAAGCACAAGACAGCAGCTGCATCTTAAGCTTGAGAGGACAACAGATGAGCTCAATAGGAAGGCTTTTGGACTGGAGCCCGTGAAGCGAGCACCCAGGATGTCCAGTGGATTGTGGGAAATAAGGGTCTCAACAGTATTCTCCTCATAGAATTATCTGTTGAAGACAAAGGATTTGGACATTAAAGTGTGTGTGAATATTTGTAATATTCTGATTTGTAAGTGTTCTTCCAAGAATTGTATGGTCTCTTTCAGGGTACCTAAGTAGACACAGATCAAAACTGATCAAAGTATCTATCTCTTATGGTTGCAATTTGTAATTTCTCTATTAAATTTGCCAAATTTCTAATATGATGTGCAGTGGGTCCCACCATCAGTACCAATTGTACTGATAGGTGGTACTCAGTATGTTGGGGATGAGGTGCCAATAAGATGGGGTATCAATCTGATAGACTGCGCTATATATCACTGACATCTGGTCATTCACCACATTGACCCTGATGATGGAGATGATGTATGTCTGAGAAGTTGGTTTTTTACTCAACACCGAAGTGGATTGACAGCCCAAGATTTTAATACCTTCTACTACAATGCATGGCATCACATCCAATAAAATTGTAATCCTAAAAATATATTTCATTCATCTGACACCAAAGGATAACAGTTACAGAAATATTCTGTAATGCTTTGGATGAATTTATTTTTAAATAATTTTATGCTGATGTTTTATGCAGAAAGAAATAAAAAATATGTAATATTGAGTTTTGAAAAGCGTATCTGGAAATTTACATAATATGAGAAACGTATGAAGTTCAAAAAAATAAAATGCGACTTTTACCATACTTACACATCACCTGAGATGCACAAAGCAGTACAACTTTGCACTGCTTTTTTTTACCTTTATCTAGGGATTCTGACAAACAGTAGAAATAAATTATTTAATCGCAAATAACTTCCCAGTACAGTTTTTAAATTATGTGCAAGAATATCTTAATACATAATTGTATGAACTCTAATAAATGTTTTGCATGATAATTTTGTACTTTTATATTGTTACTATGAAACTTCCTAACCCGTTGCCAGGCACACAGTAAAAACATACAGAAAGATGCCCCCTATGGAGAGGGGACTGTTCAGTTGGTATAGCAACAGGCTCGACTGCTGGGGCCCAATTCCCAGCAGGGTAAGAAATTTTTCTCTATACAAGTGTCCAGACCGGTTCTGGGCCCACCAAGCCTACCATCCAAGGGGTACTGGGGTCTCTTTACCCGGGGATAAAGCTGTTGGGGCATGAAGCTGATTATTCCCCTCCACCTAGTACCAAAACCCATACAACCACTCCTCCACATGTCTTCAAGGCATTATGCATAATTACGTGTAATTAAGCACAGGGACAAATTTACTTACTCACAATTCTCCATACCATTCCTAAAATATCTGAACCATAATATATAACTTAATTTATATGAAACATTCAGTATACATTAACTTCAAAGCACCACAAGAAGGATTAAATTCACTTGATATGATATGTAACTTGGTTCATCTTGCTACTGGAATTTGACATATTATATATATATATATTATTCAATATATTACCATTTTTTGATGCTGAAATCATGGTAAAATGTTTAATTTTGAGACTGGGACAACTGAGCTCCAAACCATTTAAAGTATCTAGCGATGCCTCTGTTGTCTATTACAGGCAACATGTACTGCTAACTTTAAATACTTTGCTACTATTTGTGCTTTCTCCATCATGGAGACATTCTCATTTCAGGACTCCCCCATTTACAATGTAACAGAAAGAGCTCTACTGTCTACATAACACCAGAATAGAAATCTGAATGTATGTATATATAAAAAAAAGGTACAGCTATCCCTGTAACAGGCCTTGAAGGCCCATATGATTGTGAGACATTGAGGCTACCACACTTTCTCTAGACAATGGACTCACAGATGGCGGTAAAGTTGTCAGCCTTACGAGCCAGCCATCCTTTCCCCCCCTCCCCCACCCACAGGTAGATTCCTGGTACTCATTTCTGTTAGAGGCGGAGTCAACCCCAGGGCCATGGTGCAGTTGCAAGAATTAGGTAAATTGAAAGATCCACCTCATTGGAAATTGGACCCGTGACCTCCTGGCTTTTAGCACAGTGTCTCAACCATATATGCTAACACATTCCCTCTAGGAACGTGTGTATTCATATGATAAAATGTGTTAGATAAATACAAGTCACTAAACTACATTTCTTTAGTTGCACTACATTTTTAACATTTAAGTATTTACAGTTTATATTTTAAATGGGAATTATTTGGAAATATTTAATTACATTTCAATACATAAATGGGGGTTTCATTCTCTGCCTTGAGATTTCTGATTTCATGGCCAAGACTATGAAGCGTACTGTCTTCTTAGATGTGACGTCATGCAGTCTGATACAAGTTTACTGTTTTTCCCCTGAATCATCAGTAAACTTGTATGAAACAAGATGATGTCTTATCCCACATGAGAGTACTCTTTTCTACGTCTATTGTCTGCATTAAAATCGTGTTTACTTTATATAATTGAAAATGTAACTGGAGTCCCATCATAGAATTCTTCTGTATAAGAAGATGACTAATACATCTTAGTGAGTCAGTCTTAAGGTTTCCCTACAATCCCCAATTTAGAGAATTTAACAGAATTTCAATTCATGTACCAGAAATTTTATATGATTACTTCATTAGTTTTATTTGTTTCAAATTTGATATTACAAGCATGTTATATGTTAATGCACACAAACAACTCTGTGCAAATCAGATATAATCAGTATTTTATTTCTATAGTGGTATACCTAATGCCTTTTAAGGCACACAGTTTTAGATATATTAAGCAAAGTTAAATATTAGAAGGGGATAATAATATCAGACTAGGTTACAAGTGGTAGGTTAGCATAAGAAATCTAAACTAAGACAGGCTTGCACACAAAGAGATATTTCGACTATATCCATGCTACTTTCTGTTACAGTCTACTTCCTATAGAATGCCAACTACAGCAAAACATTTCTCTGCCACCTTTGCTTTTCTGTCAATGGTACCTGTTAACGGAAATTTAGGTGCCACCAGCAAGTTTGCCGGTGTGGAGGTTTGGGTTTCCCCAACCCCACCTTCACTTATGGCTTCCCCAGTGCCACGCGCTGCAGTGGCGGCTGAATGGCTTGACCCAAAACTCACACTTGACACTGATTCTGCAGCAGCCATAACACACGCTAGCTTAGCAGCAACACTCCAGCGATTCCGGGCTTGTGTTACAGGAAGAACTGGGTTGGGGAGAATAATGAACCAATAACAGGCTTAGTGGTTGCCATTCTCCACATGTTATGTTCTGGTGTCACAGAATTAAAGACATCAACTGCCACATTCAAGTTTCTAATCTCAGCCATCATCCGAAACAAAAGGCTACTCACACCAATTATTCTTTCTGTTGTTATATGGTCACGTACGTTCTGATGCTGCAAAAAGCTATGGAGGTTAGTAAAATCACATAACTGTTAAATAAATATGCAAATATAAACATACATAATGTCAAAATTCTTATCTCTAAAATTTATATACCATCAGTAGCCTAGAAGAATAGAAGCTTTATTTTCTAAATATCTAACAGACACACAGGATTGACCAGACTGATATATTAAAAATGGTAAGTCATTATGATTACACAATGGTTTATAACTAAATTATAGTAAATTCACACTAAAAAGTTAAGAATACCAGGGACAAATCTGCCATTTAAGCAAATAACAAACGGGCTTAAGTTTCTACTTGATTAATATCTATGCTGTTTTACATTGCTTAAATTTATTACATTAAAAACATCCATCAATCTCTCACTAAAATATCATTACACATATTTTCATCCACTTCTTCAGTAAGTGAAATTATCATTTGCAGGTTCATTCTTACAGAATACAGCCACCAATTAAGACCACACTCAACTCTTAGCTGGATGAAAGAGTCACACAAAGATATTAATTCTGAACTTCCAAAACACGCATTGAAGGAAATTATGGCAGCATAAAATTTCATTCACTAAAGCATGGAGCTGAACTCTTCTCGAGAAGCTGCCAATTGTGTAGCTACTCAAGATTTTCCCAGCATTTTATGGAACCAAAAGGATCATTACGATATTTACAACAGCCCTCCACTGGTCCCTATTCTGAGCAAGATCAATCCAATCCATACCATGCCATTCTATCTCTCTAAGATCCATTAATACTGTCCAATCACTCAGATCTTGTTCTTCCTAGTGGTCAGGCTTTCCCACCAATATGTATTCCTCGCTGCCATAATCCATGCTACATGGCCCACCAATCTCATCCTCCTTGACTTGATCATTCTAATTACACTTTGAGAAAAGTACAAGTTACAGAGTTCCTCATTATGCAGTTTTCTCCAAACTTCACTTCACTTCATCTCTCTTCGGTCCAAACATTCTCCTCAGCACCTTTTCTCAAACACCCTCAGTCTGCATTCCTTCCTTAATGTCAGAGAGCAAGTTTCACATCCATACAGAACCATAGGCAAAATTATAGTTCTGTACATGATAATTTTATGTCTTTAGACAGCAAACGAGAAGACAAAGAGTTCTGGGCTGAATGGCAGCAAGCATTACCCAAATTCAATCTCCTCTAACTTTCCTTGTGAATGAGGGTTAGTCACTGGCTTCCCACCACGGCGGCCTGGGTTCGATCCTGGGTCTGGTCAAGTGGGATTTGTGGTGGACAAAGTGGTGCTGGGGCAGGCTTTCTACAAGTACTTTGGTTTCCCCTGCCAATCTTCATTCCACCAAATTCTCCATCATCATAATCACCTGGGGCAGGCTACAATAGGCCAGTCAGTGGCCGCTGTGCCAAGTGGACCCAGTGGGACTCCACCCCCCACTAAGCAAATTTTTAATTTCCTTTCCTTCTGAATGAGGTTTTGATTTGTTATAGTTCTTCCCAAATATCTGAACTGTGCCACATTTTAAAAACATCTCTTAGCTACCTTTGTGTCATGATTTTGCCTCCATTCTTGTGATGAGACAGCAACATATATTTACTTCTATCTGCGTTTACTTCTAAACCAACCTACTTACTCCTTACCACTCCTTTCTCTTCCTTGTACTCTCAACTACTGATCCCTCCTGCACTTTTCTCTAATCCAAGTTAGAGTCAAAGTCAAAGTTACATTGTAACTCGCAGTTTACCGTCAATCAGTTTTTCTTGGCGTCAAGTCCCTTGAGACCCACGACCAGAGATGTTTTCCCCAACTGAAACCTTGCGGTATTAGTCCTTATTTAACATCCTCTCTGACAAGAAGATGGTTTCCTCTGCTATGAATATTCTTGGCCTTTCATCAAGTGTACATTTCTCACATATATTGTGTTATTGAAAAATTCTTGCTTTTGCACTACTCACAAGTCCTCTGTCAGTACAGGCTTTGCAGAGCATATCATGCCTATTTACTCAGTTGTAAGCTTAAAACATTGACCAGGTAGGCAATCCTTAATTGGTGTCTTTTGCTACAACTTCTTCAGATCTTCCAAATTTGCCACTTTTGTAACATATCTGAGTGAAGTATCTAGTTTCACAGACATACCACTTTTTAAATTAAATATTTCTGATGTTAGGTGGTTCCTTCTAAAGCAGGGTTTCTAAACCACTGGGCCACAGCCTAGTACCGGGCCATAGTATCAATAATACCAGGCCCTCGGGCTGGACCGTGGTCTCACAACCACTGTTCTAAAGGATACTCAGATGATCCTTCAGATGAGTCCACTTTGAGGAAGAACAATCTAATTAAGTGATATGAAGAAACATCAAACAGAATTTGAGAATTGTAAAGGAATGAAGGTATGTGGTTGTGCATAGAAAAGAAATCTATGCAAGTGAAAGGAAGGTTCCAAACGTTGCCTGAAAAATGACAATTTACTATAAGAGAAATGATTTCATCTGTCATGCCAGAAAATTTCCACAGTGAATCACACAAAATTAGCATGTTTTCAATGAACCTATATAAACTCTATGCCACATGGTATGAGATTTCATTTGTTGCCAGTTACAAATATCCAACGGCATATAAAAATACAAGCAGAAGGACTTTCAGTGAGCTACCTCAAATTTATGCACATCATGTGCATAGTGAATGCTTTACACAGGGTATATGAAACAATTCATGTGCTTTATATAGGTTTACAAATTTAGTGGCTAAAGGGAAGAAAATCTTCATGAAACTGCCAACTAGAAGAGAGATCTTCAAAAACAACTCTACAGGCAGACAGTTGCTTCCAACTTTAGTGATTACACAGTGGGGAACTTGGTTGGATGTCACTGTATATTATGCAAAAAAAAAAAAAAAAATTGAAATTGTTTATTCTGCAGTAAATTAACTTCACAGGGATGATGCAATGCTCCAAGAAATATTCAATGGCTGAAATGAACTCAAAGAGCTAAAAACTGACTTGGCCCACATTCATGCAATTTTCAGTTTTGTGTCAAGGTCAATAACAAAATTGGAAAAGAAAACCACAAATTTATTGTCAGAAATAATGTAAGAAATCAGTGACTTGAGATAAACTGAACAAAACTGACAGCTTAGAAGCAAATACAGGGAGATCGAAAATCAAACTAAAAGTTGTTATAAATTGTATTGTGGTTAATACGAGTATAATTCTATCTCCTACCACTAGATGTTACTGTAGGATTCTTTTTTTATTGGGTAAAAAAAAACTAGGATACAAAAGTGGCCTAGGCAATGCCCATCCGGCCTTCTGTAGCACATTCTAAAAACTTCTCTTTCTGTAGTAGCGGTGGGCCCGCGGTTAATTCGCATCTTAGCATAAATTTGAGAATGTTGTGAGTGGTCCGTGCCATTTCCTCTTGTTCTTTCCTTACGTATCCGTTTTAAATATATATGGGAATGTTGTTTATGAAGTAGCAGACGCCTTGCAGAAATCTCTTTTCTTCTAGCCTCAAGAGCTCTGTGACTGATTTTGGGTAGTTCTTTTTACTGTTCTCGGAGAGGATGCCCACCATTATTGCCCTTTGGTCGTCACACTGTTTGCAATCCCAGAAAATATGTTCCTCCGTTTGCAACCCGTCACCACATTCACATTCGGCCGTGGGCACAATGTTAAATCTGTTTAGACTTACTTTAAGACTGGTATGTCCTGCTCGCATAC